GTGATATAGAGGCCAATATACACGTTGTGAACGAACCCACGGTGGTCGAAATCAGCTGTAGCACTCCACTACTGTGTGCCTCGCAGCCTTTGTCGCTCTGAGACATTGAACACCGTGAATTATTCATTTTTATGGCAGCATTAGTGCAATGTCTTCTCCTTCCACTGAACAAACTGTTATAAGTCGACGCTGTTTGCGCGTCGCCCCTCCTCATCACCGTCTTCTATTATACTGTGTTTTCTCGAATGGCAATGCCCCATATATCACCATTGATGTTCTGCGCCGCCTTGATACCTAAAAAATAATGTCAATAAAACGTTCTTATCCCACGTTTACACGGGAGCAGAAGAAAACATTGCAAAATCGGTGTACGGATAAGCGAATCTGTACGAGGTTCTTTTTCACTAATTATACTTACCCTGGTGTTTGCATTGCACGAGCGCATTCATTTCCGCGGAGCTCAGTCGAGCGATCCTGCACTGGTGGTAGACAGTGTACCTATAAATCAGACCTAAGAATTCATTGGAAATGTTTTATCTCAAAATAGCATGGTATAATTTCAAAATGTTATTTCAATATCATCATCATCATCATCATCAGCCTGGCTACGTCCACTGCAGGACAAAGGCCTCTCCCATGTTCCGCCAGTTAACCCGGTCCTGTGCTTGCTGCTGCCAATTTATACCCGCAAACTTCTTAATTTCATCTCACCACCTAACCTTCTGTCTCCCCCTAACCCGCTTTCCTTCCCTGGGAATCCAGTCAATTACTCTTAATGACCAGCGGTTATCCTGTCTACGCGCTACATGCCCGGCCCATGTCCATTTCCTCTTCTTTATTTCAACTATGATATCCTTAACCCCCGTTTGTCCCCTAATCCACTCCGCTCTCTTCTTGTCTCTCAAGGTTACACCTACCATTTTTCTTTCCATTGCTCGCTGCGTCGTCCTCAATTTAAGCTGAACCCTCTTTGTGAGTCTCCAGGTTTCTGTTCCGTAGCTAAGTACCGGCAAGATACAGCTGTTATATACCTTCCTCTTAAGGGATAATGGCAATCTACCTGTCATAATTTGAGAGTGCTTGCCGAATGTGCTCCACCCCATTCCTATTCTTCTAGTTACTTCAATCTCGTGGTTAGGCTCTGCGGTTATTACCTGCCCTCAGTAGACATAGTCCTTTACAACTTCAAGTGCACTATTACCTATCTCGAAGCGCTGTTCCTTTCCGAGGTTGTTGTACATTACTTTTGTTTTCTGCAGATTAATTTTAAGACCCACCTTTCTGCTCTCCTTGTGTAACTTCGTAATCATGAATTGCAACTTGTCCCCTGAGTTACTCAGCAATGCAATGTCATCGGCGAAGCGCAGGTTACAAAGGTATTCTCCATTAACTCTTATCCCTAACTGTTCCCATTCTAGGCTTCTGAAAACCTCCTGTAAGCACGCGGTAAATAGCATTGGGGAGATTGTGTCCCCCTGTCCTTACACCCTTTTTGATTGGTATTCTGTTGCTTTTTTATGAAGCACTATGGTAGCAGTTGATCCCCTGTAGATTTCTTCCAGAATGTTTATATATACTTCATCTACGCCCTGATTCCGCAATGTCTGCATGACGGCTGATATTTCTATTGAATCAAGCGCCTTCTCGTAATCTATGAAGGCTATGTATAGTGGTTGGTTATACTCTGAGCATTTCTCTATTACCTGATTGATAGTATGAATGTGGTCAATTGTTGAGTAGCCTGTTCGAAATCCTGCTTGTTCCTTTGGTTGATTGAATTCTAATGTTTTCTTTACTCTGTTAGCAATTACCTTTGTAAATAGCTTGTACATTACAGAGAGCAAGCTGATCGGCCTGTAATTCTTCAAGTACTTGTCATCTCCTTTCTTATGTATTAAGATGATGTTAGCGTTCTTCCAAGACTCTGGTACCCTTCCCGTCAGGAGACACCTCGTAAACAGGGTGGCTAGTTTTTCTAACACAATCTGTCCTCCATCTTTCAGCAGATCTGATGTTACCTGATCCTTACCAGCAGCTTTGCCTCTTTGCATGCTCTCCAGAGCTTTTCTGACTTCTTCTATCATTACAGGTGGGGTGTCATCTGGGTTACTGCTAGTTCTTATAGTATTAAGGTCGTGCTTGTCTCGGCTACTGTACAGATTTCTGTAAAACTCCTCCGCTATTTTAACTATCCTATCCATATTGGTAGTTATTTTGCCTTCTTTGTCCGTTAGTGCATACATCCGACTTTTGCCTATCCCAAGTTTCCTCATCACTGCTTTGAAGCTTCCTCCATTTTTCAGAGCGTGTTCAATTCTCTCCATGTATACCTTCTTACATCGCATACTTTACGTCTATTATTCAACTTCGAAAGCTCTGCCAGTTCTATTTCGTCTGTTGTACTTGACACTTTCATGATTTGACGCTTCTTAATTAGGTTCTTCGGTGTCCTGGGAAAGCTTGCCAGTGTCCTGTCTAACTACCCTGCCTCCAACTTCCACTGCACACTTCCGTAATGATACTCGTCAGATTATCATTCATTGTATCTACGCTAAGGTTGGTTTCCTCACTAAGAGCCGAGTACCTGTTCTGCAGCGACACTCTGAATTTCCTGTACTTTCCCTCTCAGTGCTAGCTCATTGATTGGCTTCTTAGCGTATCAGTTTCTGTCGTTCCTTCTTGAAGTCTAGGCGAATTCGAGACCGTACCATTCTATGGTCACTGCATCGTGCCTTGCCAACCACTTCCACATCCTGCGCGATTCCTGGGTGTGCAGTCAATATAAAGTCTATTTCGTTCTTATTTTCGCCATTAGGGCTCCTCCATGTCCACTTGCGGTTTTCTCGTTTTCGGTAGAAGGTATTCAAAATTCGCAAATTATTGCGTTCTGCAAATTCTACTAGTAGCTCTCCTCTGGCGTTTCTAGTGCCGATGCCATAATCTCCTACTGCCTGGTCTCCATCCTGCTTTTTCCCTACCTTTGCATTAAAGTCGCCCATTACTATAGTATACTGTGTTTTTACCTTACTCATTGCCGATTCCACGTCTTCATAGAAGCTTTCAACTGAAGCGTCATCATGGCTGGATGTAGGCGTGTAAACCTGTACTATCTTCATCTTGTATCTTTTATTCAGTTTAATTACAATACCTACCACCCTTTCATTAATGCAGTAATATTCCTCTATGTTGCCACCTATGTTTCTGTGAATTAGAAACCCCACTCCCAGTTTTCTTCTGTCTGCCAAGCCCCGATAGCAAAGGACGTGCCCATTCTGTAGCACCGTATAGGCCTCGTCTGTCCTCCTAACCTCACTGAGCCCTATTATATCCCATTTAACACCCTCTAGCTCCTCGAATAGTACAGCTAGACTTCCCTCACTAGATAAGGTTCTAGCGTTAAACGTTGCCAAGTTCACGTTCCAATGGCGGCCTGTAGTCCCAGAGATTTTTAGCACCCTCTGCTGCGTTGCAGATCTGACCGCCGCCGTAGTCAGTTGCTTCGCAGCTGCTGAGGACTGAGGGCCGTGAGTTATTTGGCGTATACATGTGGGAGGTAGTGGCCAGATACTGCACCAGGGTGGCCAATCCTTCTCTGGTGAGGGAGTTCCCGGCGGTGGTTACCGGTGAGGACGCACCTCAGGCCTCTTAGTGCAGTTCCATCAACACGCGGTTTTTTTCCCCGGTTGGGAACTGCGTGGCACCAATATTTCAATATAGCATATAATTCTTTTGGCCGAAAATCTCATTCTAAGTATGCTACCTACGATGAGCTTCTGCTCCCGATAATAAGATTAAAAAAAAGAAACGTGTAAATGTGAGTACTCTTGCGTATTGTGCATTGCAAATGAAGGAACTGCAATGAGAAATGACTGGCTCCTGGCGTCGTATTCTCTCCAAGTTTGGATCACGGCATGACGAACGATGTAGTATGAAGCCAGGTTATAACGACCAGCACCGCTATAGGATCTCTTAGCCCTCATTACACACAAAGTGAAGCGCGACGTCTGAATTGAGTCCGCACGCACGTCACTGAGCCATACACGCCCTTGAAATGTGGCGTGCCTTGTGAACAGTGCCACTTCAATTGTACGCTTTTTCTCCGTGGCACTTATTTGAACAGGGCACGCCACCACTCCGTTCGATAAGGTTAGAAAAAACAATCTGCCCACTCAGTCGTGCCGGCCTTGGGAAAGCACGTTCGATCGTGTCAGCAATCACCAGGCTCGATAGTTGTTCAGCCTTCTTGGAGCGTTGCATGTTAGTGTTCGCACGTGTAGAGAAGAACCCGCTCTTTATTTTCCAACAATTTCATTCGTTATCTTGATTTGCCAAAATATAAACACGCTGTGTTTCTAAAACTGCAATCCGGTTTTCACCAAGACTTGTTTTTCATCGCGTATGCGTATTCTTGCACATACAACATAATGTAAAGAACGTGGTGACAAACAAAATGCTGAGTATAAACAGCGCGAACCGACAAGTGCAACTTGGTTGCATGAACCTGTCTTGTTCTCCAGTTAGCGGCCATCTTGCGCCATCTTTTTAACGCCACAAGCATCCATCCTTCCGTTGCGATAACACGGTAACCATAGTTACAGTTTAGCAGTGATTAGCCCAAAAGTTAGATTTCAGAGCGAAGACGGCAGTTTAACTGATTCTATTTAGCTATGTACACGTACCTATGTATTTTTAGGTGTAGCCATATTTAGGTAGCATTCAGATTTAGAATTAACATTGTTGCAAAATACATTTTCCAAACAATTTCATACAGTGAAAGTTACTTCTCCACTAGGCAATCTAGCTCTACAGAAAAGCACGCTTCTCGAGGCATGCAGTGTGCAAAGGCAGTTTGTCGCGCAAGATCTCACAGGAGCGCATGTGTGAGGCGAGAGTTCCCCAAGTTAGTTAGCCTTGAGCTCAGATTCACGAATTCACGCGTTTTTTGACTTAACGCACTGCCACCACTGCGTTTTCATTCGTTCGTTTGTTCGTTCTTGCAGGCGTGGAGAACCTTGACAGTGGCGTAGGCTTGTACGCACCAGACGCCGAGTCCTACACGGTGTTCGCCGACCTGTTTAACCCGGTGATCGAGGACTACCACGGGGGGTTTAAGCCCACCGACAAGCACCCACCTACCGACTTCGGAGACCTCAGCACCCTTGTCAACGTAGACCCCGATAACAAATACGTCGTCTCCACCAGGGTACGCTGCGGTCGCTCGCTGCAGGTCAGTGAAATTCTTTCTTAATTCACTCCCAACTGGCAAGCCCCGGTGCTTGTGTACGTAATAAATATGTTACTGATGTATATGGATCCAATATATTGAAACCATCTTGTTCCAAAGTAATGTCACCAAAATAGTTCAGAGACGTAATGCAAGACTTTTGCACCACCTGTACGCAGGACTAAGCCCGGGAACCTCACACGAGATCCTTCACTAGCATATGTTATCATTGTCCAGGACATCAAATGACGGAACAAGGAAGCGTTCTGCGTTCATAAAATTATCCTGCACAAATGTATTTGCGTTTTTCTGCTGGGAAGAACCTAGCACTTGCACTTATTGCAGTCATTCATTTGCCGACCAAGAGATAACCCATTCCTGACCTGGTTGCGTCTTCATTCGTCGTCGCGCACACGTACAAGCGTGCATTTCTTGACTTCTTTTTTTTTCAATTTCATCACGTGAATACACGCAGCTGCGCCATCATACGATTAATGCAAAGATGACGTTAGATTTTGCAAAAGCTCACAGCGCACTCAGAGACACGGACGAAGAACGGACAAACGAAGACACCGTCCTTGTCTCCGTGCGTACCTTCTTCGGCCATGTGTCTCGGAGCGCGCTGAGAGCTATTGTGGATCTTCACAGACTAGCCTGGTCAAAAATATTGTTAGCTTTAGTAACAAGCCGCGAGCATAGAAAACACTTGCTTATGGCTGGCTGGTCACCCGCAGCGACGCTATGCTTGGCGCATCTAATCATCACGTCTAATCGCCACTCCAGTCGCCACGTCAGATTTCTTCATGTTGCTTTACAGGTATCTCCTTTTGCGTGAACACATATAGCTAGATTAACTCGTAGCGTTATTTTTTAGTGTGTGTGTGTGTGTGTGTGTGTGTGTGTGTGTGTGTGTGTGTGTGTGTGTGTGTGTGTGTGTGTGTGTGCGTGTGCGTGTGCGTGTGTGCGTGTGCGTGTGTGTGTGTGTGTGTGTTCTTACACTCTGACAAACTAAAAACTACCTATTAAAATATTGACATTATGGTCAAAGCAATAATTATCTGAGTGACGATGTCAACATGCAACGTCAGGGGGGGGGGGGTCGCAAACTATAATTTCAAATATTTTTTTGCGAGCTCTCACAGAGACCAAGGAAGCAGGAATTGGTACTCCCACCTTTCAAGCACTTTTACGGTGCTCTCACACTTGAAACACACCAGCGCATCTAGTTTCTTTACTGCACGACTTCACTTCCCATCGAATCCGTTTCAAATTTTTTTCACCAACACTAATTCTGACCAAAGGTAAAGCCCCTTGGCGTACCGAGTATGGGCTTTACCCATTAGTCCAAGCGAATGCTTTCAATTATACGGGCTCAATTATTGCGTTTCCATTTCTCATATTGACTTTTTATTGACCACTGCTTGCGATGTCGTGGCTGTTTACTGATTTGATACTCATCATTTGTGCCTTCACTGTAATCACCCATTCGTCAGGCGCCGTCTGGTAAATCTTCGCACCTTTGTCACATTTGCTGATTTCACCATCTGCAAACGACATATTTTTCAATACCATACCAAACCCCTAAAAAAGTATCTCAGCGGTTGCCTTGAGCCTTCTAAATAGTCCTTGTTTGTACACGCTTAACAGCACAGTCGGTATTAGAACATAAGCCACCAAATCAAGAGCAAACCTAAAAAATGACAGCCATTGTCACTGAATGTTCACTCTTTGCAACAGCTGAGCCGCGATTAAAAGAGGCATTCCGAAAAAAGTTATTCTTAGAATAACAGCAGCCCTTTCAGTTGATGTAACTACGAAAAAAGAGCAGCTACGCTAACGTGAAATCTGGGTAGGGGCGAATCACGCAGTGCCGGTGTTTTCTGCTGGAACACGCCAATAGCTTCTAATGGGCAAAAACAGACAAAATACACCGATTATACACAGAGACCACAGTTTACTTCTAGTTTGCGCCCACGCTTCAAATCTTATATTGTTTAACCTTACAAAAGAAAAATCTATTACCAGCACCACATTGCAGATCAAGATTGAATGCCTATGCATACGAGGTGGCCGGTGAACGGTTGTGCAGCGAGAACAGGTGGTTTTTTCGTAGCGGAGCTGCTTAAGGCGACACTCCGCCATCGTCGTCGCCGGCGAGCGAAGCTCCCAGCGCTAGGCTCATAAAGCTCACGTCATGAAACCCATTATTATCTGTAAAGGTATGCAAAATCTCTTACCATGGTCGAAGAATAGTAGCTTGGTGACTTATCTCGCGCAGTACGCAACCGCACTACTAGTTTTCATAGCGGCAGTTATCCCACAGCCATGGTATTTGCGTTGTCAACACAATTTTAAGAAAAGAAGTTAATGAACAGTTGGCAACGCATGTATTCACTTGTATCGAGCGTATTTTACTACATTCGCAGCATCACTTTACTATAGCCAGCAGATAGTAAAGTTTGAAACTTTTGCCATTACATAGCGGGAAAGCTTTCTTCGTCTTTTGAACTAAATAACTATGGAGCCACATACGTTGCCAGATCACGTGAACACCACCATATATCGTGCAGTAATCATGACAACCTTAACGAAAATTTAGACCAGCCCTAATCTTATTGATTACTTTGGAACAAACATTTCGTGCTAAGTTATGACACACATATATCCGAATTAAAGGCAAGGCAATGATGTGTACATAATTTCCAATTATTTTCCTAATTATTTGGTAGCGAACCAGTATACTGTCTGTCATTGAAAAGTAGGAGCGTAAAAAATAGCCTTCAGACTTATCGTGAAAAACAGCATGGGTATACGAAAGAAGAAAGGCAACAGGGCAGAGCGCTGATAGCTCTGTCCTGATGCCATTTTTTTTTTCTCTCGCATATCCACGCTGCTTTTTACGATGAACCCATGTGAACAAGCTCAAGCTTTTACTCTTTTAGCCTTCAAATGGCTGATACAATAAATACTGGCTACGTCTTGATATTCTATGTGCGCGCGTGCGTGTATATTTTCGTCTGTGATTCGTTCATGCCTCCATGTATGTTGCTGTGACGCGTCTTTGTCATGGTAATTACACGGAATAATTAGTGGCCACTGATTAATCTGCGTGAACAAGGGCACTTGGCCTATTATCGCCTGTATATATACTTTTGTACTAGAATCAACTCTATACGGCATCGTACAAGGGCATATAAAGGCACCTAAAATAACAATTGAGTTATGTAATAATAACTTGAGCCAGCACTATTCACGAACTACTTAGCAAACTAACATGTTTCATTAACCTGCAGTTTACTATCTTCACTGACTAGAAGGTTGTTGCTTTTTGAGACGTTAGTATTTAGTTTGTGAATATGCAGACCTTTTTTTCTAAGAGAGCTTGTTTGAATTAATGGTGTTGTTTTAATATTATTCAAGCGAAATGTGTTAATCCAAAAATGATGACTTAGCGAAATGTCGCGTGGCAATGCGGGAAGCCGTCGCCTTCATACGTAGGATTGTCTTCTTTAGTTTTCTACGAGGACTAACACTTTCAAAACTCCATTCTATTTTCTCTGTATGGTTCATCTTGTACAGCAGTTTATCGCACAGCACAAATTGCATCGTGTACAAATTGGTGCTGCGCTGCCACACAGTCCTTTGCGACAGGTTTTCGGGACAAGGCACAATTGTGTTAGGCATAGGGCAGGGTATAGCAAAAAAAAAAGGGGGGGGGGAGTAGTATGTGGTGAAATGGCACGCAAGCTGGTATATGAAATCTTGCAGTGAACAGAAGCATCGTACCAGCGTCATTACGCATCACAACTTAGATCCGATTGTTTGACTATGCATTCCAACCGCTGACGGCGGCAGAAGCAAAAAGAAAGTGAAAGATTAGGAGACCGCAGGCGGCTGAGACCGTACCAAGGGAAAAAAACACGAGGTGTAGGGGGGATAGCTACGCCGTCACTGTAGTTCCGCACGACGGATGCCATGACATAGAGCAGTGCTTACGCAAGCATGCTTTGATTTGCATCTACAGCTGTGTCATAAGCATTTTACACTCAGGTGGTAAGCTTACTTGCACATTGTCTCTGCTCTGACGCAGGGCTACCCGTTCAACCCGTGCCTGATTGAGCCACAGTACAAGGAGATGGAGGAGAAGGTGAGCTCTGCCCTGAGGGGTCTCACGGGCGAGCTCAAGGGCACCTACTACCCTCTGACGGGCATGGACAAGAAGACGCAGCAGCAGCTCATCGATGACCACTTCCTATTCAAGGAAGGAGACCGCTTCCTGCAAGCGGCCAACGCCTGTCGCTTCTGGCCTACCGGACGAGGAATCTTCCACAATGATAACAAGACCTTCCTTGTTTGGTGCAACGAGGAAGACCACCTGCGGATCATCTCCATGCAGCAGGGCGGAGACCTCAAGCAGGTGCGCGTTCCTGTCTGGTTCGCGCATTTACAAAGGTTTTTTGTCGACTCCCCTAAGTTTTCGTCGGTACCTTCGGGTAATTCTGCTGTTGTTTTTGCCGAGTACATCCTACTTACGTGGACTAGCTAGCCTAGCATGGGGCAGGTACTGTCGATAATAGCGCCGTACACCACCCGTTGCTATTTTCCCGTCAACGTGCGAGCGCGTTTCGCATGGTGCCTTCGGCTCGTGCACCTATGCCACACGGTATGTGACGATAGAGGTCGCGCTACGAAAGCATTGCGAATGTGCCGAGCATTGCATTGATGCAGGTACGTGTCGCCAATGAACCCGTGCTGTACGCAACTCCATGTTCACCTTAAGTGCTCTGCCGAACGTACGCATCTCTCCCGCAAGAAACTTAACTGAAAAGTGGACAATCAATAGACATGCATTACAGCACTAAAATATTAAGTGTTTAATCAGTGAGACACCGGAAGAAGACTTCCGTTCTTGTGCTGAAGAGCTAGGTTGCTATCTATCATGACAGAGTTATGATAGCAGTGTTGAAGCGAAAAACGCTCTTCCTCCTATTTTACGAGTGTCAGTGTCTTGTATGTCGTTCAATGTTTTTCGTAAGCATAATGTGGCGTGCTGAGACATCGTCTCTTCTGGTCGTGACAGGTGTACAGCCGCATGGTTAGCGGCGTGAAGGAATCGAGAAAAAGCTGCCTTTCTCGCGGGACGACAGGCTCGGATTTCTGACCTTCTGCCCCACCAACTTGGGCACCACCATTCGAGCCAGTGTGCACATCAAGTTGCCCAAACTGGCTGCCGACAAGGCCAAGCTGGACTCCATTGCGGCCAAGTACAACCTCCAAGTGCGAGGTAGGTGTTTGCTTTAAAAGCATGCAGAGACCGCTAAAACCATATCGTTATTTCTCTATTTCGGTTTTTTCCCATACGTTTGACAGCAATGCCTGTCCGCGAATTTCAAGTGGTATTTTGTATCTTAATCTTGCGTAACGTGTTATCCCATGGTGTGGTATGAGCTAGCCGCATACTAAGCACGGCCATCATGTAGGTGTGCAGTCTTGCTGTGGAAGAGCCACAACTGGTCACGGCTTGGTGATGTAGTGAATATGCTTGCTTGATTTAGTTCGATAGATCTCATTGCAAATCAACCAGCCATTACAGGCCTATGTGAATAACTATAGACGTGTAACGGCAGTCCGGCACCTCTAAAGACAGGGAAAAAAATGTAGCATCTTTACGCTACCTCAACTTCAGTTTACGTGGCTCAGCCTTCGCTCAGCACAGCACCATCTAATGCCGCCGCATGAAGGCACTGAAAATAGGATTTTGTTACTCCCGCGGCTGCCTATTAAAAAAAACATAACTAAAGATGCTGAGCACTTCTAAGGGTCTTCGTTTTTCATTTTCTCGACACCTCAACTCTGAAAGTGTCGCTCACGAGCATCTTCCGGAGAGTATGCGTCGAGCAGCCGCATAATCATTAGCTGTGCCGTTATCGGCATATAAAAATCAACCAACGTCAAAAGTTCAGCACGAACTCGACAACGGATAGGCCGAACATATCATGTGCACCTTGAGCAGCGAAACTTTTCGATTCAACAGCAGCACTCATCGGAACATTGCTCACGGTGCGCAAGAATATTCATTATGCCGTCGCATTCTGCGTCAATATTTCATTACGTGGTGTGAGATGCAACCTAAATTGCAGAATATTTCGTACAGACAGCTATTTACGGTATGAATAAAATTTATTTTTGAGCACACAGAGTGCTTTCGCTTCACAGTGGCACAAGAGTAGCTGAGCGAACTTCTATTCTGAATCTAGTTAAGCCATTAGTTTGGTTCGAGTTATCATTAAAGTTAAAGAATATTGCATTAAAAATAACCTGCTCAGTCTTACCAAACGCGACGCATAATATCGGATATTTCACGAGCATTAGTTTTTATCTGTCTTGCTAACGCCAACTGGCACACTTCCGAAAAGCGCGTGAGCTAGCCAGACCATGGTTTCAAAACACCATGACGTATCACTGAAACTAACGGGTTCTCTGTTCCTGATGGGTTTAAGGCGTCAATTTTCTTTTGCTATTTCGTCATGCTGGGGAGATAGGGAATGTTTTATATTCTATAGAGAATCTTCTATCTAGAGAATCTTCTATCTTTTGTAGAAACTCTAGAGAATCTTCTTTACAGAGAAGCCATTTGCAAGCCTGCGCTTTATGGGATATTTCACGATGCCTTCAATTGATCGACTGTATTGCCGATAGTTCAAAACATTTTTCAAGACACCTGTTTTGCTGTTCTATTTATTTTTTCCGCGTAGGCAACATATATCTTGGTGTCATAACCGCGAAAAAGGGCTTACTGAACAAGTATCGTCTAAGTCAACTTGTAATCAACAGGAAAGGCCAAGGTAAAGTAGCTTCAGCCATAGCTGTCAGCGCTGGAATACTGATTACATCTGTCAATCCGACGGCTGTCGCATGCTGGTGCATATACGTCTTTTTAAAGGCAAATATTTTGCCGAATCCATACCACTTCACGTGAAAGAACACTTGATCGAAAATTGACCTCACCTCGCATTCTTTCTCTCCATAACCCACAGGCTCAGCTCTAGAAACAGCTTAGTCAGGCATATCTGAGAGTAGACTGCTTGAATGACGCGTGGAAGTTGCGAAGCTGGCCATTAAGCCAGTCGCCGGTTCGAACCCTGCCATGGTGGTGCTATTTCGATGTAGCCGAAATAGTAGGAGCCCGTTCACAATGCGATGTCAGTGCACGTTACGGAATCCTCCAGCATCTACCATAAATTTCGGTTTCGGGACGTAAAACCCCCGATATTATGTTATTAGCCATGACGTGGTGAAAACACGTCTTTGTTCTATCGAACCGTGATAACATGGCTGGTCGGCCAAACAGGCGACACGCTTTTAGAACTGGCTGCAATCATAGATTTTCCGATAAGTTCACTAGAGGGAACTCCGAAGAGCAAACTGTTGGGAGAGCTGGTAATTACTTTTTGAATTAAACTGCCCGGAAACGTAGACAGAGGAAGAAACGAAGAACACGTGCGCGTACTAACGATTGAAAACTTATTCTGAAAGAAAACGCGACATATAAGAATCGATGAAACCTCGTGTGAAGATTGCGCACCAAAAAAGACCTGAATATGCGCATCGAAATAAGCCATCCTCTTTTTTTTTCCTTTTTTGTAGAACGCCACGGAGGGCTTGGCAACACAGTTATGTCCGGCGTTAATCACCACCGCGATAGTCTAGTGCCAGGGTACTCGGCTGCTAGATCGAATCTCGGCTGCGGAGGCTGCATTTTCGATGAAGGCGAAAATGCTGTAGGCCCGTGCGCTCATATTTGGGTGCACGTTAAAAATCCCTAGTGGACGAAGTTTCCGGATCCCTCCACTGCCGCGTCTCTCATAATCAGAGGGTGGTTTTGCGACGTTAAACCTGACATATTATGGGCGAAGCAGTGAATGCGACCGGTTTTCAGAGTAGAGAGAAACAGAGTGTACCTTTATCCCATTTTGATAGGCCGTTCGTGTGTTTGGCCAGGAACTCGTACTACTTAGGTGAGGCGCCCCCCACCTTTTTTTTCGACAGTTCCAAGAGCTCTGGTCAGCTTATTCCTCGCTGCAAATGCTTGCTGCACTTCATGCTTCGCACCAACCTTCTTGGGGTATGCAGCTAGGCGATGCTTACGAGGGTCTTTATATCAGGATCACTTAGAACGGAAGCTGAACCTTTCCGAAGCACGGAGTGCACCTAGTGTTTCCCGTGCGGGATAAGCTGGCCAGAATTTCCGGGACTGTCAAGAGACAGATGGAGGGCGCCTCATTTAGTGGAATGAGTTCGGTGCCAAACACAGGAACGGCATAGGAAAATGGGACAAGGTGAGGTACACTCTACTTCTTTCTCCTCTGGAAACAGTTATGCTGGTACAGATCATCCGTTGTCTGAAACAGAGGTTGAATGACCGCTGATTATTCATCAAAGGACAGCCTTCAACAAACTTGTCATTACAGTGCCGCCATTGTAAGTACAGCCCGGTTTTCCGAGAAACGAAAGCTGTGGCACGGCTCAAGGAACATATACTGTATACAGGTGAAATTACTTAAACCTACTTTATTTTCAAACCCAGACATAGCTGTGTTGCCAAGCCCTTTGTGCCTTTACGCAAAGCATAGATTGGGAAATTTGATGCGCACATATAGGCTTTCTCTGCTTTTTAATCTAACACAAGTGGTTTTATTTTGGTGTGGAGCGTTTTTTAGAACGAAATTTCAGTTTTTGGTACGCACCTTTGTTTTACCTTTCTTCATCTGTGAACTATTTTCACAGAGCTTTGCGGTGCTTTTTCAACCATACTGAAATAACGCTGTTTTATAATAGTATTTATTTATTTATTTATTTATTATTTATTTATTTATTTATTTATTTATTCATTTATTTATTTATTTATTTATTTATTTATTTATTTATTTATTTATTTATTTATTTATGTCAGTGCCCTCAGGGCCTGAGGGCATTTCAGAGGGTGGGTTACATTTGTAGTACCATATGTTTTCATACAAAAAAGGACTAGGGTGTTTACATGAAAATCACGGAGAAAACTGACAATAAACAGCGCACAGTCTTAAAACAACATAAACATTGAAAAAAATACAAAGCGTAAAACAGGTACTCTACAGCGAAGAAACAAACTGAAATGGCACTCAAAGCACTAGCACATGCTCATGAACCAACGTATACATGTGAAAATGTGTGCCCAAACAAAACTTGAAAACTAAGTGGTCACTTAAAAAGGTAAATTAATACAATGGTACAAAAATGATAGCTTCAAAACGCTAGCAGATTAGTTAAAGCAGCCTTGAGCTTAGTATTGAAGCGGTATGAGCCTTTGGACAGAAGATGAAGAAGCGCGAGGGCCGGGGCAGGAAAGAAGAGGAGGATGAAGTGAAAAATAAAGCAGATTAAGATGGACGCCAGTTCCATACTGAAGCTTTAATGCTGTTCCGTTATTTTAAGTAGGAACACTACATTATTTTGGCGCAGCCGGCCATCGAAGCCATCATGTGGGTGACGTTCTTCATAGACGAGACCTCCGAGGAGATCATCTTTTCGAAGTACCAAGTTCAAGACGAAGCAGCGGTAGACCTACCTCGTGAGCTCAGCTCGGAAGAACTCGTAAACCTGGTTGTGGAAAAGGCAGCCGTAGACACTACTGAACTACGACGGAAAGGTGCTGTGAAAGTGAACTTGCGTGTGGCGACCTTCAACGACCTAGTTCTTGAACCAGCGCGTCGAAAACACTCAGGATCACGATCTTCGACGGAAGAGGTGAGCCTCGTTTTGAAAGCTTTTCAGCTGCAACAGGAACAGATGCTTCAACAAAACCAAATAATGACATCTCTTATAAGCTCTCTGAATGCTGAGAGACCGACACCTAATTTCGTAGAACCTGATGCTTTCGACGGTGTGTCTTCAAATCCAGAAAGTTGGCTTGATTTCTACGAATATGCCGCTGGAAAAAACAAGTGGCTCTCTGATGAGGCTAAAATCACCAACATGCGCGTTTACTTGAGAGGTGTTGCGCGAAAGTGGTATGAAACATGCATTCTGGAAGACAGTGACGACTCTTGGAGCCAGTGGAGGAAAAAGTTTTTGACTGCATTCCGAAGCAATCCAGTAGAAAGATGGAACACGGCGCTTAATTTCAAGTCTGAGCAAAGCTGCCTTGTCGAGTACTTCTTTGAGAAACGCCGTCTTTTAAAGCTGGCGGAGCCTTTGCTTCCATCTACGGCCGTAGTTGCCTTAATAATGCATGGATTGCACACT